TTGTGCCGTAAGCACAGCCCGATGGAGCGAAGTCGGAGATGCTGCAAGTTCATTTTAGAGATGAAACAGGAGGCTTGGAAGAACACACAGGGGTCAAACGCTGGGGACCGGACGTTCGTACAGGGACAAAACATGTAGCTCACACGATGAGATATTATCTTATCAACACGAGCGTGTTGGTAAGATGTGCTAGATAACAGAAAGATAACAAAAAGTACTCTGCGCAGAGGAACGTGCGTTCGCACTCCATGGAGTAAACTTTGTTGTGAGCTGAAAGAATGTACTCGTCTGGTGTTTCGTCCTCTCTCTGTTTTATACTTTCTGTTATCTAGTACATCTTACCAACACGCTCGTTAGGAATATAATATCTCATCGTGTGAGCTACATGTTTTGTCCCTGTCGGAACGTCCGGTCCCCAGCGTTGTACCCCTGTGTGTTCTTCCAAGCCTCCTGTATCATCTCTAAAATGAACTTCCTGCGTCTCCGACTTCGCTCCATCGGGCTGTGCTTACGGCACAACGTGGCACACCCTTCTGTGGATACCGTGCTTGGGTTCCACTCACACAATTGGTCTTCGAGCTACCGGATAATACAGATCTCGAGAAAGGAGGTCTCACGGGAACTCCAGCTGATGCTCAAGAATCTGCCGGGAGAGATGTCGGCCCTCTTCGGGGCGCGATTCTCCTGCCACCCCTCGTTCCAGTTCATCCGGAAGGCTTCTGCAGACCTCCTGAAGTCTGCCTGGGTCAGGATTCTTAGGGCTTTTCGAGCATCCAACAAGAAGCAGCCCACCGCAGGGTTGAAACCTCCTGTGAACCTCTCGCACACACCGCTATCTCCGGACGCCGTGCGGCTTCTCTCCTATGGACTTAAGTTTGCCTCAGACCTGCCCGGTTCAAGAGTCGACCAGCTGGCGTCTGTCTACCAGGTTGCAGCCTCCATCCCGGAACAGGATCGTCAAGACTTCGTGCGCTCAGCTGTTCGCTCAGCGTGTGCCCAACCTCCCCCGCCCTCCTCGGGTGGGTCTCTGGTGCCTTCGGTCGTGGAGGAGCTGCGCGGCGCCCGACTGAAACTTTTAGAATCTGACAGAACAGGCGTTTTTGTCATCATGGAAGAACTCTTTGGCGTTAAGGTGGGAGCTGCCCTAAATAAGAACTTTGTCTTGCTAAAAAAAAAGACCTTCGGGGTCTCTGAGATCCAAGGTTAAAGACCTGTGCACGAACCTTGACCTGCCAGCCTTGAGAAACGCGATAGCCGCCCCCTCAAAACAGTACCTGACTGTCTTTTTCTCCGCAAAAACTCACAAGGCCGATGTTCCGCTCCGCAGCATCATATCAGAAAACGGCTGTTGGCAGAAGCGCCTGGCATCCTTCCTACTCAAGCACCTAACCTCTCTCAATCTCCCTCAACCTGTCCGGACCACCAACTCCTCTGACCTGATCTTACACCTCACCCTCTCCACGATTCGCCTGTCCCCCTCAGTCTGTTTTCGTTAGATATTGAAGATATGTATCATAATCTAGATGGTCAATTACCTGTTCGAGTCTGTGAGCAACGCCATAGATGAGCACGGCATGTGCAAGTTCCAAAACGCGTCGGGAGTCTCCGTTAATGGGTTCCTTTCTCTGCTCGACCTTTACCTCCGCTCGACGCTCGTTGAGTACGAAGGAAAAATTTACATCCAAAAGGCAGGCGTCTGCATCGGGTCTTGCCTGGCGCCCATTCTTAGTGAAATCTTCCTAATGTATTTGGATCGGGCTATAAAAGCAAAACTGGAGTCGACGGCACCCGGGTGCCAGGTATCCAGGTACGTAGATAATTATCTTGTGCTGCACCAGGAACATACCAAACCTGAGGCCATTCTCAAAGCCTTCACATCAAGCCCCGCTGGCCTCACGTTCAAAAGAGAGGACCCGGTCAGGGGTCCTCTCTTTTGCCCTTCAATTTTTAGAACTACAACTCAGTCTCCGCCCCGGGGGGTTGTGCTGGGAATTCAAACAAAGATCAGAAAAACCAGTTCTCCCCTTCACCAGCGCCCACTCAAAAACAGTCAAGCTATTCCTGGTTAAGTCCCCCCTGAAGACTGCGCGATCTAGGTCCTGCCCTTATCTAGGCATAAACAGCGTTATCCTCCAAATAGATAGATTGCGGAAAGCCGGATATCCAGAAGACCGATTCTGACAAATACTCTAAAGAGGCTTATTACCTCCTCCAACACACCTCCCTATACACCCCGACCCCGCCGCAAACAATTCGCCGTCATTCCGTACACGCACAACACTTCATATCGCCTCAAGGCGCTCGCCTCACGTTTCGACGTGGGAGTCGTCTTCAAGTGCAAATTCAAACTGAAGCAGATGTGCCGTCAGGTCAATAATCCTTCCCCTCCAAATCCCTGTCCCAAGAAACATGAAAAGCAGTTCGTCCCTTGCCGGAAAGAGGGAATCTATTCCATTCCTTTTTCTTGCGGGGGAGAATATATCGGGCAAACGGGGCGGTGCCTAAATGACTGTCTGAAGGAGCACTTCCGAGAGGTCGCTGATCCCAGCGAGGAAACGGTGCGCCCGATTGCAGCACATCGCCGCACATGCGGAGGATGTGAGCCAAGGTTAAAAAAAAAAAAAAAAAACGCGCGTGCTCGGGCGCCATCCTCAAAGATTCGGCAGGGAAGTTATCGAATCTTTTGCGATAAAAAAACTCCGGAGCCAATGTCTCTTCCCCCTCGCGACGCTAGCCCTCTCCGATAGAGAGATAGATTATTTGAGCCAAGAGCTGTCCGGGGTGATTAGACGACCTCGGTAAGCGGCCCAACCCCAACAAGTCCAAGCACCCAGCCGCCTCTCCCACCCGCCCTTCCTTCCATTTACTTCCCCCCCCCCCCCCCCCCCTCCGCCTCTGCCCTTTCCCCCTTTCCCTAACTCTGCGCAGAGGAACGTGCGTTCGCACTATAAACTTTGTTGTGAGTTGAAAGAATGTACTCGTCTGTGTTTCGTCCTCTTTCTGTTTTATACTTTCTGTTATCTAGTACGAAATTTCTACTTCACAAAACAGATACGTATATCTTCTTTGTTCGTTTTTTCTACTCCAAGACATTGAAGTTACACAACCTCCGCATTGACTCCTGACTGGTCGAGCATGTTGGGGTCAACAACAGTAAGTGGTTCGAAAATATTATTTTGGACCACATTCGTATATACATGATTTACTTCAGACGCTCTGTATGTTTTATAAGAAACAGATACTAATACTCACAAATGTAAATGAATATGAAGGAGTTCGGTATATTGTACACTTCGTAATAGATTTTCAGCGGAACCAAGTTAACAAAAATTTTCCTCAGGAAACATGCTGAGTGGTCCATTCGCTTTTATGCCGACTCGGCCGGGCTCGGGAAGTAAATCCAGAAATAAGTAAGACATCGCTATCGTTACCAGCCATAAGAGTATATATAATAAGAGTGCAAAGCACACAGCGAAGAGTACGAATTCCCAATTTCCGGCTATTATAAAACATACGAATTGGCATAGCCTGAAACACACACCGGGCGAGCCAATACCAAACACTGAGAACTCTATTCCGAATTTCACAATAATCAACGTTCCTAAACATTCCTTGAAATACATTTGATGAGAAAGTATGGCTCAAAAAAAGCGGCTAAAATTAATAGACAGTGGATACAAAAATGGATACATTTTTTTCTAATATCTATAGCGTCTATAGACTATTTTCCATAGAAATTGTGTAGAAAGTGGATAAATACTTTTGCAAAAGGGCCGTGATACACATTTGCTGAAAATAAGGGAAACAAATATTTCGAGTGCGAGCTGCACCGCTCATTTAATACGCACTTTCTGTTTCTGATTTGGCAACCACCTCCGTTAATACGCGTACCAAAAGTGCAAACGAAGATATCTGAAAGAACGAGTGAAAACTTATTTGAAATGCCGTTTCTGTGGCCGTATTATAGTGTACTCCTGTTTCGTGTCTGTTTAACTGTGTTAAAATTTCTTTGTGTTCTCTCGTATTTCGTGCTTAGAGTTCTGCGTTGTGACTGTTGCATATTGTCATCATCAGGTCAACCTTTCTCATCTTTTTTCTGGCCTGTATGAATATGCGAAGCTTCCTATGCACTTTGATTTACTCCTGGTGAGTTTTCTTGGTCGCACTTATTTTGTAATGTCATAATTACCAACATATTTAATTTCAAAATAAAGTATATGTATTTATCCACCTTACTTTTTTTTTTTTACTTTAGTTTGAGTTTTTGCATTTATATGCATATTTATGTTTACTGATTTAGTATTTCCTCATGTATATTTACTTCTCTATTTTCCGGCCCTCGAGGCTCCGACAGATCCCCAACCCGGCCCCTTGGCCAAAAAAGTTGAAGACCCTTGGAATAGCATACTATTAATAAACTACTGCTAGAAAATTCGAATATTCACAAAATCCTAAAACTTTGACAGAGGTGCAAAAGTTACTTTGTCACGTAATGCGACAATTTTCCCACTTCCTACTATATTTAGCGCCGAAATCGTGGCACGTGACACTGCAACATTAGTGCCACATAACATCACACTTTCCCCACTAAACTTAGTGTGTAAATTTTCACGCTATATATTGCCGATAAACGTCTCACGGGACGTCACCACTTCCTCGCTATATTTAGCGGAGAAACGCTTTATGTGACGTCAAATTTTACCAGCCAGCGGAAAAACATTTCCACTAAGTTCAGCGGGAAAATGCCCCATGGCGATGTCCCGTAACGGGACGTCACAGTTCCCCCCTAAATTTAGTGGGCCACGACCGTACACCATACACCCCAGAATCCACTTCCAAACCTCACCAATATCGGTTGTTGTGATAAAACCAATGGAAATGGAAGCCCAACTTAAAGGGGCTTCTGCGTTCATGGTATATACGCATGAAGAACCCTCATCCGTTCTCTAATTAACGGAACAGATTGCCTAGAAGCACGCATGTCTACTTCTGTGGCGCAGGCTTGCCGCGGCGACCTCCTGGACGACGGCGTTCCCGTAGTGGTGGACAGCGTAGACGCGCCCACCCGGGTCGTCCGAGTCCCAACCGACGCCGACTTCCTGATTTGCTTCTCCACAGTGCCGGGTAAACTTTCCTCCGGTTACGTGGAGGCCCGATTTCTCGGTTCTTCTTCGACGTGCATCGGGTTTTCGACACAGCGAGCAAAATCGGGATAACCTCTGTCTCGGTGGCTCTCAAACGGGGGTATGCGGACGCTCCGGGGTCCCCAAAGGTCTTCTTCTTGGGCTCCCCGAAGCCCTCGACTCTCATTCCAATACAGTCGCCGACCGATTTTCCGGACTCGGAGGGGACCCCGAAAATGTCCGAATAGTATTTACTCGAGCAATGGCCGCACTGTTTATGAAGAAAACCTGAGGGTTCGCTTTTCCGCGGAGCACGGAGATTGCCAATCAGTGCGATAGACTGCATGATTCCAGCTGTTTACAGGACAGAGATAACGTCTTCGCGCGAAGATACCATCTGTGAAGATTGTATTTCTATGGACAATCCTGTTCTCGATCTGGTTATTCGCTATGTTATTTATGCGGAACGTAATGATTGGCTGTGTATACATTATATGGAAAAGTAGACGCAAGGGCCTTGTTCATAAATAGTGCGGCTCTTACCTGAGTAAATACGGTAATCAAGCGGTCTGAAAAATCGATTTCAGCCCAAAATAGCAAATTTCCGCGCATATTCTGCTGCGTATCGGCCACTTTCCACTTGCTTGATATCAATTTTAAGTTCTCGTGCAACTTCCGCTTTATATTGTGCACTTTTCATTTCTGTGTTGATCGGTTTAATCATAGTGCTGCGCTTCGTCGGCGCCTGCATTGGCATAAACAGCGAAGTTGAATTTTGCACATCTGGCACTATTTGTAGATAAGTACACCAAGCTCGCTTCGATACCAAGCCTATCGGCAAAATACCTTTGCGCTTAAAAACCAGAAGAATGGCAGCGGCCGCTTTTCTGGTGGTCGCACTCGAAAAACACAGACCACGCACGAGAACTGGAAGAACCGTCAGAATGGGCAGACGGTGGCCATGTTGGCCATACACGCTTGCAAGTCTGGTCTTAGGGCGACGGCATTTTGCTCAGTGGGGTGCGCCGCTTGGGCGCGGCCTTAATCCGATTATGACGCCTCAGCAAGGCTTAGTACTCGGATTATGACGCGTCCAAGCGCACCCCAGCCGAGCAAGATGGCAGCGCCTTGAAGCCGGACTTGCAAACGCGTATGGCGGAGCCAAAAAAACCCGACTAGAGCCTTAAGCGCGATCCAAACCAACGCTTCTTTTTGCGCCTGTAGGTCGTGCGGCTGCGGATGTGACGCATTTCGTGGCGTTTTTGCTGTTTCCGGGCGCGCTTTCTGAGTCAGAACCGTGCGCTTTGGTTTGGACGGGCGAAACTTCGGGCGAGCGCGCACGCGCGCACGCAGGCACGAGCGCACAAGCAAAGTGCAACTGCGACAGACTGGCCGGCCAGACGGCGAGAGAAAGAGAGAGAGAGAGATCGCGTTGTCATCTTGGAAGAGAATAAAAGGGGGGGGGGGGGAGGAGAGGGCAGCCAGACGGCGAGAAACGCGGAGTCGGAACTAGCTTGCCCTCCACCGATTGGCCGGGACACAGGAGCGCCCTACTACGTCACGGCGCGTTTTTGTGCGCGTTGAGAAGAAGTTGAAATTATCCAACTTTCTTGTGCGCGCCCGGAAGGAGCGAAGAAGCGGCGCGACGTCACAAAAATACGTCACATCCGCAGCCGCACGACCTACAGGCGCAAAAGAAGCGTTGGTTTGGATCGCGCTTTAAAGGAGTCATGAAACGCTTTTCCAACTTTTTCCTGTTTAGCTTTCCTCCTCAACTCATAAATCGCGCATTGTACCAAACAGTTCAAGAAGTCGGAAAGGGGGTAGTCCCCTCTTGCTCGGAATCTCGCTTGTGTAGCCGGACACAGCCATTGTCCCCTTAGAAGATTAGCCCGTCGCTCAAAATTCCGACTAGTTGCTTTCCCCACCCCGTTCACCCCGAAGCTGACAGTGCTGTGGAAGCTACATGCTCGTTGGGCCAGCCACACATTTTCCACGTGATCACGCTCTCTCGCGCATACCGACCCGCAGAGAATGAGGTCAGGTGATGAAAGGGAGGCGGCTGATTGGTCCGGCAAGCGCGTAGCTTCCACCGCAAATTCAGCCTAGGGGTAAAGGGATTAAGTGAGGTCCGGTATCGTGTGACGTGCGCTTGGGCCCTGGTGACGCGCTGCGGGGGCCCGGTTATGGTGGCTAGTAGCCCGGTGACGCGCTGCGGGGTCCGCGGATGTATCGCAGTGAAAAGGCGGAGAGTTTACGAAGGGAAGGAGGTACGAAATAGTCCGCTATGTTTTGCAAATTTTCGTAGCGAAAGTCAGTCTTCTGAGTTTCTACCTTTGTTCTTTGGCCCACTGAACGATGTGCTATTAGTAAAATCCCAATATAAATTGATTTAGTCCAGCCCAAAATTTGTTTCATGGGTTTATTGCGTTGAACGTGGTATCGCGGCTACAAAGCCAAATCAAAACTGCCAGAATGGTGGCGAATAAGCTCGCGGCGCTATCACAGTGGCTGTTTTGTTGCTGTAAACTGAGGAAATCGCGCTAATTATGTCCGAAATATAGAACAATAAGCTTTATGGCGTCCGAAATTTCGGTCAATGCTATACATTAATTCTTCGGGGTTGAGTGATGGTTCGGTGAAAACGTCCGAATAATCAGACGTGCCCGAAAAATAGGCGTCCGAAAAATCGGTCAGCAACTGTAAAGAAGTACATCTTTTTTTTTTTTTTTTCAGTAATGCTGTTTGTCTTTTGAAGGTAACTAGACGATACTATGCAAACTATGTGAATCGAGTGAGTAGGATTGATTTGTTCTCCGTTTCAGAGCTTCGACGTTTATTTGCGCGCACTTATTTTTCTTCGTTTCCTACCCTTTTGTCATCGTGATCTCTTAGTACCCCCCTCCCCTCCCGCTGGATGGTGCCCCCGTCACTTCGGCCGATCTTGACGGTGTCCCCGAAACATCGGTGGTTGATAACCACCGCCCCATCGTGTCACCAAAATCGTGATCGTCGCTTTTGAACCACGATCTCGAAATTGTCCTCAAAAGCGTCGTTGCTAACTTTATTTTTGCTTCCTTACCATCGAGTGCCGTGGTGCCACGGCTGCCAGCCAAGCTCTGTGCACCTCTGCCAAAGGGATGCAGTCGGTAAGGCCTAGGAAACAAGGCCTGCGCATTATGTCATCGATGGTGGCCTCCGGCCTGCCCTAAGCGGCCAACATGCACATGCTCAAGAAGGAGGGTCTCCGACGAAGCGGCAGACGCATGCGTCTCGGCGTCGCTGCACCGTAGCATCGTGCTCGTTGTGAGATGCCGCGAGACACGCCCGCGGCGATGCAAACGCTTGGTGGGATCCGCCATACTCCATTCACCAATAAGCTGAGACTGTAGTCGATGCAACGAGCATGAGAGTACGAGGTCGCCGCCTTGAAACGTCCTTCCGCAGAACGAGCGCTCACGCTAGACGTGCGCGTCTCAAAGCCCGAAGGGTGGGCTATAGCTCGTGCTTGCGGCTTTGGTAGTAGTCTCGAACGAAAGGTGATTGGAGTACGGTGGTGATGTCCGAGGAGGAAGGGCGCAGGCCTTCCAGGTGGTGTCTGTACAGTCTCCAGCAGCCCCAGGGGGAAGGCACATGTCTTTATATCTTTGAGAGCATGGTCAATGAACGTTAAATTAAAGCTAAACGAGCTCTAGCGGCACATGAACGGAGGCCTGAGAGTTACCTCAATGACATTGGAACTGCAGTTTTTCAAGATGACATTTTTCTCATGCCCATTCTGATCGTGCATCATCATAAAACTACAGGTGCATAATGCAATTAATGTGCATAATTGAGTTGCAAAACCTTTTTAACGCGGGGCGTGTTTAGCGCTGGTTTCAAGGCCTAAAGCGTCACGAATTGTTGTCCCGAACGCGATGCGAACGGGTGTCTTTACAAAAAACACCTTGTTCTCTGTCGAAAGATACCACGGGACTCCCGCTCCCTAGTCCGATGCCCTACCACTGCACCGGGGGAGCGGGTTACATTGGCATCGTTATAGTTACTATGACTTTACGTTTCCGCAAAAGCTTTGTCTCCGAAGGTCCGAGCTCGCGAACCCCTCGACTGCGCAGGCTTCTACGCGTGGCGTAACACCACCCAGGGCTCATGGTTCGTCCAGTCGCTGTGCAGGGTGCTCCAGCAGCGGGCATGGAACACGGACCTCCTCACCATGATGACGGTGGTCTGCCGCCACGTGGCGCTCTACTACGAGTCCTCAGTGCCGGGGGACACCGTCATGGACCGCAAGAAGCAAGTTCCTTCCTTCGTGTCCACCCTCACTCGCCTCGTTTACTTCCGTCAGCAGTCTTGAAAGGGCGGCTTTGCCGTGTCGACTGCCCTACTCTGTTTCCGCGCAACTTGGTAAGGGGCAAAAGCTACGGCTCCTGCGAGTCAATCACGGCGACGGAACGAAGTACGTGGCAGCCCTCCACTGAGGGGGTGCGCATCGACAGCGCTTCCTACTGCCCGATTGTCTCGCCAGGGCAGCAGCTTCTTCCCTTTGCGGAGTTGTGCCAGAACGAAGCGTCTGGACCTCCGTTATTTTTAGAAACTTCGAAGCGTGTAATTTACGACGACCCAACTGATCCTCTTCGACCTTGACTGTAGAAAAGTGAGCGTCCTTTTGAAAAGGGCCTCTTGGGTATTTGAGTCCTACTGCTCAGTAAGACGGCTCTTCCATTTTCTTTTTAAAATTTTAGGATGCTGAATCACTTCTTTTTTTCACAAGAAGCGGGATTGCGACCTCGTTTTCGATTGGTTCATGTGACCTTGCATTACTGCTGTCTTTAGATTTCTCGTCAAGCTCACTTTGGGACCCGGGAGCTGGTGTACCAAGGGCTGGGAGAAAATCTGGAGCATCTTGATTTTACCGTATTTACTCGAGTAATAGCCGCACTGTTTATGAAAAAAACCTGAGGTTTCACCTTTCCGCGAGACATGCGGCTTGCCAATCACCGCGATCGGCAGCATGATTCCAGCGGTTTACAAGACAGAGAGAACGTCTTCGCGCGAAGATACTATCTGTGAAGTTTGCGTTTGTATGGAGAATCGTGTTCTCAATCTAGTTATTCGCTATGTTATTAGTGCGCAACGCGATGATTGGCTGTATATGTGTTCTGCGGGAAAGCAAACGCAAGGGCCTTGTTCATAAATAGTGCTGCTATTACTCGGGTAAATACGGTAGATATTAGCCGGAGATGGACTACAGTCCGGATTTCTTCCGTCGGATCGCAAAAGATGCCAGACTCCTTGCTGTCGCAGCCGAAGCGAGTGGAAGAGGACCGGGGGTGTTATTGCCCGAAGCACCGCATAGGGCAACCGTGTTAGGCTTTGGGGGTCGTCGGTGACACTCGGATGTACAATTTGGAGAATTGAACAATATGCGGAACAAATCTGTGATTTGTCCTCTCTGTTTGCCGGGTTAAACATCCTTGTGTTTGTCCTTCCATGTGTACCTTCGTCCCAATGAGGTGGATAGCATCTGACGTGAAGGGGGTACCAGCAATTTAAAACAGTTACTGTTGTATCGCCCCCACCAGAGCCACCAAACTAACTACACCTATTCGAGTACCGTGATACACCGAGAGATAGCCTACCTAAAATCCAGATCAAATCGGGTGAAAATCTGGAGTGGGCTAACTTTCAATCTACAATCAACAAAAGTTGGCAAAAAAAAAAAGCTATTTTTAGGTCTGGTGTTTTTTTCAAGCTTGTTATCGTGGCGAGGGGCAACGAAGCAAAGGTGACTGTACTTCCCTGTGAGCAACATTTGCTTATATCTGGCCATAGCAAACTAGCCACATTTAGGCCGAAGCCATCATTGATCCCAACACTACCCCAACTACAAGTGGGCTATCTTTCGGTGTTTAAAAACGACATAGCAAATCGAGCCAAAACTAGGGGTGGGCTTTTTTTCGGGGGTGGGGCATCTCTTGGGAGTTTATGGCATGCGCGCTCCATTCACTGAATGTTTCGCGGACGCCGCCATTTTGCTTGCCTACGGCCGCAGTCGGCGACGAATACGATTAGAAAATGTGGTTTTCTAAGGAGCTCGGGCAAAGTCGTTTTGGTCCGTCATCAACCGCTTTCACGTTTCGGGAGGACAGAAAAGCGCTTCCTGCGACTCAAGATTAAGCTCCGGATAACTGGCAACACTGGTTTTAACCCTCAAGATGGCCAAAGACTCATTACATCGAAGCGTAGCTTATCAAAGGGCTTTTGCTCCAACTTACTGTCTTGGAGCCATTCTTGGACTGCGTTACAAATAGGTAACCTCCAATTACGGGAAAGCCGCCCGTGGAGAAGCGGGCTAGCTGCGTAGGGCACATTTAGCGCGAATTTGGCATTGGCGGTTTGATCTGTTTTGGAGCCAACTGTACTACTAGAGTTGGTGCAGCGGAGACGCACACCTCGTCGCGGTACCGCCGTTTTTTTTTTTTTTTTTTTTTTTTGCGCGCGAGAAAAGCGGAATTACATAATGATTTAATTTCTGGTTGACTGCTTCGTGCTATACGTTCCATGTGCCTTGGCCGGTAGAGTTGGCTTTTTTGGTTAGTTGGCACCTGCTTAACATTTTGTTTATTTTCTGGTTTTCTGTATTGTGACAAAAGCATTATAGTGCGGGAGAAAACCCCGTTGCATCTTGGTCTCCAGTTTTTCATATAGTTCAGCGTACTGCCTGGCACTGTCTTTGTAGTACTTGACTTTCTTGTAACTTTTGTCTCGCAAAGAACTTTCCAAAGTTTTCGGTCTTGTTTTTGGAAACAGTGTGGATGCTCTGAACACGCTTTAAACTTTTTCTTGATAGCGTGAAGTTGCCATATTTATGAGAATGTACCACTGATTTTTGGAGTCATTTTTTGCTGTGATACTGGAGTTCAGGCAGTTTTCAAATGTCGTATTGGTCCGTAGTGTCTAAAAGAACTGACGCTTTTGGTAAGTGGACCATTTAGTTCCGCACAAGTCGGACGATTGTGGGTCTAGTACAGCAGGTTTATATTCGTAGTCTTTTTTTAATTTGACATTGAATTTTGGCACATTTGAATTCGTTTTGTCCAACTACATTTGACTCGCACACTCCGAGCCTGCTTGACCACATGCTCAAGGAGGGGCATTGTCGTGGCTGTGAGGAACTTGCAAATTCTCCCTCATGGTCGGCGACGAGTTTACTGTGCTGGGGATTTTTCATCGAGTCACGAGGGGGCCTTATATTCTGGAAATATCTTGCTGCTGCCTTCTATTGCTCACTTTTGTCTCGGAACTATCGGGGACATTGTATAACGGGAGTGCCTTCAACGTCTTGACTGGTCTGCATTTTTAGCTCACGTACTTCATCTTCTAAGGCAGTACACACCCTGCCTGTTCGATGGCAGTCCGTCGTGAAGCGACTTCTCAGGTCCGCTGCGACTCGTTCCCAAGTGTCTTTGTTTCGTAATAATCTAGTGCTAGCAACACCAAAGGAGAAGCAACTTTACCTTGTGGGGAGCGTATAGTCTGGATTCTTTTTTTTTTTTTGAAGAAGCGACGAGCACAACTTAGCCTCGAAGACAGCCTCCCTGAAATGACTTGAGCAATTCAGGATTAGTACTGGTTTGCTTAGACCGTTATTCTGGCAACCTCCCTGTTATGCTAGTATTACACCAACTGGCACACCTTTGATACACATGCTCATAAGCTTAGCAAGAGTAGTGTGTCTTTAGTTGGGGCATTTTGTATTTCATTGTTTTTCGGAATGTGTGCCGGTACCTTGTTAGTTGATTTCGGATGGCTGAACGTTTCTATAGTCATTCTCGAAAATTCTGCGGATCATTGTGCTCGTACGATAAGAGCAGTGTGGGAAGGTATGCTGTTGCACCTCAGTCTTTGATAGCACTGCACAGGACTTGCAAGGCAAAGTATATAGAAGTTGCTTTTGTATAATTTCTTTTTCCCTTTATCACTTTTATTATGGGTTAAAGAGGAGAGTATTACCGTGTCCTGAAATGCTGTGTGAGGATTTTTGCGATGCTTTACTTTAAGTGACTGGAGAAACATTTGTACTTCGGTTAATGCTCTAAGTACTTCTTTGGGACCATGGCAATGTTCTTGGAGTAGATGATTATTTTTGTACGGTGCTCGACCAACGCCTTCTAGACAAATAAGGCCCGCACACCCGCTTAATTCATTACGCCACTGTAGTAGACCATTGCACGGAGGAATGGCGCAGTCGACTTAGCTTGGCCGACGCGTTGGCGGAGTGGCCAATACTTTCATGTGGGAATGCTAGTGTGGTTATCAGGCACGTAGCCAGGGTGGGGGCCCATGCCCCCCCCCCCTCCCCCTTCCCCGAAATCTTCCATTTTGCTGAAGCCTCCTCTCCCCCCTCCCCCTCATACAGAATTTTGTCATGGGGCCTCCTCTCCCCCCAAAACAAAATCCTGGCTATGTGCCTGGTGGTTATTATATGTTGAGTCTAAGTAATGACAGGAGTAATCAGATTACCGTATTTTCCAAGCTATAGTTTGTAGGCTATACATGTTAAAAGTTTATATTTCTGGCTGTGCTGACTATCTATCCGTGCGGACTATACAGGAATTTTGTTTTTCAAGATCATTCATTGCGACGAGGCGTTACGGAATTTGTGAAGGAAAGAGTATGTTAATGATGATTTATGTATAATACAAGCTTCTTTGTGAGCTAAGAAATCAGACATCTGTCAAGGTCTGCCGTGTACGAGATTTTCCTGTCGACTAAGCACCAGGTGCGGATATGCACGGCGGGCAGACCATGTAAGCAAAAACTTTTGTTCTGGCCTAAATTGGCCCGCTGCTGACTGTACAGTGGGTGCGGACTATAGCCCGGAAAGTGCGGCACAACTGTTTAGCTTTAAAAATGTCCCAACAAAAACCGTTTCACTGACTGACGATAGAATAACGAAGTGAAAACTGAAAGCTCCCCCTTCATCCATGTTGAGCAATCTTCTTTTCTTGGCTTTTTTTTTTGTAAGTGTGTTTCTACAGTCTATAATAAAATTGTAATTTTGTTACTTTAAGCTTTTACTCACAAATGGCAATAACGACTCACAAAGTCAATAAAACTGTGTAGTGCACGTGGGCAGGCTAGCGAGCTTCGTTGCAAGTGTTCGGCGGTGAAGTCCGCTTACGCTCCATGCGTGGCCTACAACTATAGCCGGTGACAGGTCAAGAACGAAGTGGAAGCTCCTCCCACCCCCTTTCCACTTCAGCGGAGTGAACAGTGGAGAGGACGTCGCCTCCTCTCCGGCGTTCGCTCTGCTAAAGTGGAAAGAGGTAGGAGGAGCTTCCACTTCGTTCTTGGCCTGTCACCGACTATAGTGGCATAGCTGACATCGCGTAACTGTGTGTGCGGGTCTCGAGTTTCTAGAGGCTGTTGGCCTAACCCCTGTACTTCTGTGCGGTGGTTCGTGGAAAGCCATCAGAAAACCATGTGGTCTGCACGATATGAAAGACATTTGTAGCGACTTGTATTCTAATAAAATTGTGAGTGTCCTGGAACTTTTCAGGGTTGTGTTGTGGCTTCCACTCCATTTCTGCTCTGTGACTTGCATGAAATCTTGTTTTACACAAACGACACACTCACTCGCAGACTGTTTCGCCCTTGTGCCAATATTATGCTAGTGATCCGTTTTAGAGTCGAGATCCTTGCGTTTTATGCCGTAGTAAATTTTTTTTGGCAATAGATGCGATTGCTCTTTTATGAGGCACTAATATTGTTAGAAATTTGAGGACTAGCGTGCAAGATTCAGTAATAACAAAAAACCACTTGTGTTCCTTTTTTTTTTTTACCCAGGGTAGTTTTTTTATAACACCGAATGCTAAAATTAGGATTCTGCGTTATTGGTAAATACCGATGGACCACAAGAAACCACACTCAAGCCAGGTTTATCGAAATCGTGGAAATCGGAAAAGCTCAAATAGGAACTGTCCTTCAATAAGAAAAAACTCGTGCTTCACGGAAAGAAACATTTAGGTAAAACTTTATGTTACATTGACCCGGAATACACTGCCTACTTTATCCACAAGGCCACTTTGCACAGTTTAGAGGTTTGGTTGAGACACTTGGCCAAACCTGTAAACACCAGCCATTGATAAAATGGATGTAAAAAGCTGGACCAGGCAACTGGAATGCCAGCTACAACACCCCGCCTACCGGTTTGAAAAGGAGGCACTCACTTGATCGAATGACGTTTTAGCGAACGCCCACGTTCCACCGATAACGAATAGTCGGCCACCGAGAAGTGGCGTTTACGGGTGAGCCAGGTGGGTTGCCACTTTTGTAATGAGGCACCGCGGACTGTCGCCGCGAAGCGCCATAAGCGCAGCGCAGGGGGGGTTGACTTGCGCCTTTGTTATTTGCTAAAACGTTGACTCGCTCAAATGTCGCTGTTTGCTAAAACGTCATTCGCTCATGTGATATAGACCCCCAAAATAGATCTCGTCTTCTGGTTTTTAAGCCATTAGGATCGAGTCGGTACACCCTGTGGGAGGGAAAGAACACAAGCGGAAGATCGTTGATGAGATGAGGGATGCAAATATACCTGAAGATTGTATGATTTTAGCTTGCATTCTTTTTGTTTTCTTGCTCTCAAAGGGGGCGTGCTGTCTTTACCATGTATTTATCGAGCTCGGCGGACATCAGATAGGATAATCAGCGGAGAAAATTTGTTAATTAATTTGAACTGTTGGTTTTAGGAATCATATTGAAATAATAGTATTGATGGCAATTACTATTGGGAGGCCACATTAATATAAAAAAATTGCAAAACTGTAGTGGTGTCTCAGATATTAATCAACTTCCGCATTCTTTTGCCCTATTTAGAATTTTGCAGTAAAAGTGCCGCAAGCCCTGCCCTCAGAGACGCAGTGACGTTTCGATCTCGTCGTCACTTTGTTATCAGCGCACCCAACGTTGGCATTGCCGAGATCATGACGACATTATTGAAACGGCTATGTCACTCTTCCGAGTTTGTAGTGCTCCTCAGTGCAATCGTTAAATCGGGGGGAAATTTTATTTATTAATATCTCAAAAACCATTCCTTTTTCTAAATTATTATTTTAATTGTACTGCAATTTATGAGTAATTTCTGTCAATAGTCTTAATACCGCAATTCCAACATTAACCCTAAAACCAAAAATTTATAAGTTAATTAAAAAGCTACTCCGGTCAATTTTTCTTTTATAATTTGGGTTTACGATTGTTTTTAGCTAAAGCAATGTCCCTGAATTACATGGTATAATTTGTTTTCGATATTGTGCGCTTTTATAAATATCACGGCTCAAAGTTTGGTTTCGGGCGTCTACGGCAAAACTGAGACTATCTGCTAGAGGCATGGAAGCACTGATCATCAGCCATACAGCTGATGACCAGTGTCATTAAAATTGCGACTCCCTCCCGCGTGGCTCAGCCCAAAGTGCAAGCCCTGTCTCCCAATGAATTCGGTGCTGGGGTAATGCCCACAAGGTTTCACCAGAGGAAAATTGGTGACTCCCTCGTCGGGTGAAAAGGCGGGGGGTGATGTTTTAAGTTTCTGGCTCGATCCCCAGGGGCCATCTTGCTGATAGGGGATACAATTGGCTTAGAAGGGCGGAAGGAATCGTATGCTTGTACCTTTAGAATTATGCTAGGTGGCGCAAGCTCAGTGAGCGCGAGCGGATGAATACTCGCTGCTCACTGATGGCTCTAGGGTCATTCATGTCAAACCTCGCACACTTTCACTCTGGATAATCTTCAAACAAAGGGCTCCAGGAAAATACAAAACAAAAGCGGCGACAAGGGACATCGCTGCCGAAGAGACGACAACACTGGCATTCTTTCAGTCACACAGTTGTGATACGCCATACGTATTCCAGCTAAGAGGATGTCACCGACGTTTACATGTTGCAAGATGCAAAAAAGAACCTCATGGAATACACGGTCGAACGTTTTTTTCAAAGTCAATTTGAAGCATTGCCACTTTGCGAAACATTAAATCGCAGCACTGTAAAACACTACGGGCAACATGAAATTCGGCCACGCACGCGCTCGCTCGGCGAAGCGCGTGGCAATATCCCTGTTCATTATTCGATCCAAACATAAGTAGATGCAAATTCCCTGTTTTGATGCAGCCCTGAAATTCTTCACCAGACACAAGTAATTTTTTTCTTGAAGTGCATGTATAATCTGCCTGCAATCAAAGCATTTGCAGTAATTTTGAAACTCCGTCATATTTTACTTGACAGTAGATAATTACGGAAGCAACCTAAAAGGGCACGAGCCATGCCACAGTTTTTAATTGACACGACTCGGCACAACCATGTTTTACTGAAGTTTATATTATTAAAATATATAAAGTCCATCATTTTTGACTACCTGATAATTATAGTAGCACAAATGTTTTAAGGTGTAACAGAATATATAAAACGTCTTTACATTCCCTCATAGCATCCAGCTATAATGCATTATGCAATATACGGGAAAATATTGTATTGTTCATATCACAATCTGATATATAGTCTGAAAAGGTTCTTTTACGGTTATAAAAGAAAAAAAGACTCAGAAGAGCCATAAAGCAATTTGTAAAAGAAATAATAGCTCCCGGAAATTTACTTTTTATTCATTCTTTCCTTTATTTTTTGTGTAAGTTTAGCGAACGAAAAGCCTATTTCTATTTAGCCTTGTGAAAGCCCAGCCAGCACATTATCCTTCCTGCCTCTTAAACATAGCTGCATTGAGAATGAATTCGCTTTTCAACAGAAGAAATGCAAAATACACAACTTGTTTTCAACGAAAACAATCAAGTGACGATGCATTTGCTTAAATATAAGATTTGCGTGAGTACACGAACAAGGAAACAGAACGAAAACAAAGTTTAGGAACACGATTACAGACACCACGCGTCAAGACGCGTCTTGACGCGTGGTGAAAATAGGACTGAAATATACCATGATATCAGAGATACGTACCCTCTGGACTTTCTTGTAACCATTTTTAATGGTTCAACATTTCATATTCAACTAGATTCCCTGCATTGTCTTAGGACTGGAATAACCATAGTTTCACGAACCAGCATAAACCTGCTTGGGGGGGGGGGGGGGGGGGGGGGGGACGACAAAGCAAAGTGCGTGGTAATATGTAGTCAAGACATCAGCACCGTTTTGGCCAAAGAAACATAAATCTATTGTGCGCTTGCTGATTTCATGGGACGAATTGCCTCATTATATCTCCAGAGCTCGAAAGCCTTAATTGAGTAAAAAAAGCAAGAAATGAACTGATTCGCCCACCAGTTAATCGGCAGAGCTCCACGAAAGTGACGCGCACACCTTCTGAATCAGGTCACTGCAGTCTCTTGCAGTCTTGTCTGCTCATAATTCATTCTTGATATTGATATTTATTGCGTGCCCAAAAACACCTAAATGGTTTTGAAATTGGTGCACAAAAGTCAGATTCCTAAGAATTTCCGAACATGCAGACATGTGGAACCAGAATAGTCACTAGCTGCATTCGATTTACCTTCGCTTCCTGCACCAGTGCAGAAAAGTGTAGGGCGGTGTACTTCCGGTCGTATCTGAATGCACATACCAGGAATAGACTGCCCTACACTTTTCTGCACAGGTGCAGGAGGTGTAGGTAAATCGAACGCAGCTATTATAAAACATTCACAACAAAGATATTATAGGCAGATCAGGTACCTAGGGTAAAATAGGGCATGGAAAAAGAATCGTGCTGGAATAGGATGTTGCATGATGTCGTAATACGATAAATTGGCGGTTCCTCTATTCGCCTGTCGGGATAAAACATGTCGCAATGTCGCGTGAACTTAACTTGCACACGTAAATTTATGCTGCCCAAAAGATCAGGTACGTCAATTACACCCTGGATAAGCTTTTGTAGAAACACCGCATCTCGGCAATGCCTTCGGTCACCCAAAGCGCTGAGGTTCAAAACCTTAAGCAGAGAATGGTGTTCGAAATAAAGACTCCTGTGTAAATGTCGATCTTAGACTATGCGAACCAAACGCCTTTGTACCGTTTCAATACGCTTACATTCAGTTTCCAATGAATGGTTCCACACGACAGAAGCAATTTCGAGCCGGTGCCTAACAAGAGCACACAATAAACGTAATATGGCATCAGGTGATTGAAGGTGCCGATTCAAATGGCATATCACACCAATCATTTTAAAACCGGTACAACAAATAGTAGTTACATACGATTTGAACGTGAGTTTGCAATCGACTAACACACCAAGGTCTCTAATCACATCAGCTCGAGTAATAATGCAGTTTCCCAACGTGTACATAAAATGTAAGGAATCCCCCTGCCTCGTTAGCGAGGTGCCTTTTGTTTTGTTGGTATTCAAAGGCAAACGGTTGGGTGAGCACCATTGTGAATACTCAAAATATCCGACTCCAGCGCATCACAATCTGTTTCGGAACAAATACTTGGGAGTAACTTAATGACATCAGAAAATAAGAGCACTTTAGCAAACTTTACACAATTCAAGGTATCATTTATAAATACCAGGAACAACAATAGCCCTAATACTGACCCCTGGGGGACGTCCGAAGTTGAGAAAAAAATAGATTAGATAAAACAGTATCAGCACAAACAAAGTTTTTTTTTTCTAGATGACAAGCAACTAGAAATCCACCCACACAGCTTAGGGGCGATAATATATTGTTTCAATTTATGTACAAGCAAAGATTGATCAAACTTATCGAACGCCTTTGAAAGATCGAAATAAATTGAGTCAACTTGACCTCGGTTTAAAACGACGTAGTGTAGAAACCTACAAAGGTTAGTTTCGTCTGAACGTCCTCCAATAAAACCATGCTGTTGCTGCGCCCGCTACTTTGATAAATGAGAGAGAAATGACACTCTAGCAAAATTATTTAAATCTTTTAGCAAAACCACACAGCAGTGACACGGGACGGTAATTCGATACAATACAAGCATCACCACCTTTGTGAACGGGCGCGACTATAGCTTCCTTCCATAATGCGGGAAATACACTGGTATGCAGAGACATGTTAAAATATGAGCTGATTGAGGCGCCAGAAGCCCACAACATCCTTTAATAATAAATGGTGG